AGGTGCGAATCCGCGATCGATCTATTTATCCGTATATAGATATATGATCTAGCATGCCCATTTGTGAAATAAAAAAGAAAATTCCAGTTTCCCCCACCCCACTCCATGTACGAATAAAGTGCGGGGTAGTAATAAGTCATATATAATCAATGGATTCATGATAAAGTAAAATCCCTCGATGACATATTTTATCACAATTAATATTTTTTGGCTGATAGAGGGATCAAATGGCTATATGGTTCATTTGTTGGTAGCTTGGAGGATTAAAGCATGACTCTTGCTTTCAATTGGCTGTTTTTGCATTAATTGCTACTTCATTAATCTTATTGATTAGCGTACCCGTTATGTTGCTTCTCCTGATGGCTGGTCAAGTAACAAAAATGTTGTATTTTCTGGTACATCTTTATGGATTGGATTAGTCTTTCTGGTGGGTATCCTTAATTCTCTCATCTCTTGAACCTATTCGTCACAGACCCAAAACCAAAATGACCCCCTAATTTTCTTGGTTGTGAGACACATTAGAATTTGAATCTAAGTCCACAAGAAAATGCAAATCAAATAGAAAACAAAAAAATTAGAGGGGGTCAAACTGTTGAATAAAAGAATACAATTAAAAAAATAATTGGAATCGTTTCGAAGAGAATATGTGTCCCGGCACTGCACCGATAAGATCGGTTATATATCATATATGTAGGTACATACTGTGTATCAAGAACAAAAAAATGCGGATATGGTCAGATGTTAAAATTTCTCTTTGCCAAGGAGAAGATGCGGGTTCGATTCCCGCTATCCGCCCAAGATCCAAGATAAAGTAATTTTTGACATTTCTTATTTAATTTCATAAATAGCATTAAATATATCCTTAAATTAAGGATTTGGTATAGTTGGCCGTGATAGTGTAGTGATTCCTATCCCTCCCTACGTTTTCTTTTTCCTTCCAACCCCAAAAAGCGAAAGGCGGGAATTTAATTGCACTAGGTCCCAGAGTCAACCTAAAAAATAGTTTGGCAAAACAAAGATGTTGCGGAGACAGGATTTGAACCCGTGACCTCAAGGTTATGAGCCTTGCGATACCAAACTGCTCTACCCCGCGCCGAAGATAAGAACTGAAAACTACTAGATAAACAAGGATTAAATGCGCCCCTCTACCTATCTGTACAAAAGAACCCATTTATACAGAATGGTAAAAGGGAGCTACTGTAATCATCGACCATAGAAATAGAAATGAAGCGTTAATCCTTACCAACGATCTTGTTGCTCCTGGCAACAAACATGCATGAACCATTTCACGAAGCATGTGTCCGGATAGTCCAAAGTCTCGATAGTTAGCTCTCGGCCTTCCGGTCAAAAACAACGTCGATGAAGGCGTGTAGGTGCACTATTCCGTGGTAGGGTTTGTAACTTTCCATAAATTTCCCATTTGTCACTCAACGATGGAACCTTGGTTATTTCTTTTTTTGAGGATCGACGAATCGAATGATATTTCTGTTCCAATTTTTGCCTCTTCTTCTCCCTCTGAATCAAACTTTTCCTTGCCATAGTTGAATTCTATTAGTATCCATGATACAAGTCGAATCCTAGATGTAGAAATAGAAGAAGGTGGACCCCCTCTCCGTCGAAAGAAATGAGATTATCGCGGATACACACATTAATTAACCAAACATTGCCCGACGTAGAGCGAAATCAAGAACGCCGCATAAGTGAATATATAACCTACAGAAAAATGAGCTAATCCAACCAATCTTGCTTGTACAATGGAAGGGCCACTGGTTTATCTCTCCAGCAGAATCAAATTGGCCAAAGGTGTGCGTTCATGAGCCCATGCTAAAGTTTCAATCAATTCTTGCCAATATCCACGCCAAGAAATTAAGAACATAAATCCAGTAGCCCAAACAAGATGTCCAAATAAGAACATCCATGCCCAAACCGATAAACTATTCATACCAAAAGAGGTTAATCCATTGATAAGTTGTGAAGAGTTTAACCATAACTAATCCCTTAACCAGCCCATCAAATAAGTGGAAGATTCATTAAACTGTGAAACGTTACCCTGCCATAATGTGATGTGCTTCCAATGCCAATAAAAAGTAACCCATCAATAGTATTTAACATCAAAAAACTGCCGCGGCAAACGCGTCCCATGCCGAAATATCACAAGTACAGCCTCGTCCTGGGCCATCACTTTGGAAAACTATAACCGAAATCCATTTTTTATCTGGCATTAACTTGGACCCACGTGCATCTAAAGCACCTTTATGAATCCAATGTAGTTGTATGTAACCCAAGAGCAATAGCATGATGAACCAAAAGTCTCCAGGACCTATTGTTAAGAATAATGAATTACTATTTTCATTAACAGCATTTAACAAACCCGGCAACCAGATGCTTCGACCCGCATTGAATGCTGGGCCACTCGTTGAAGATAAAAGTACATTGAACCCATATGAAGTTTTACCATGAGCGGATTGTATCATTGAGCAAATATCGGTTCAATCAAGATTTGTTTCCGGAGTGCCAAAAAGGCAAGCATGACATCATTATGAACATAAAGTCCCGGGGTATGGAATCCCAGAAAGAGGCTGGCCCAACTTAAATGAGATATGATAGCTTCTTTATGATCTAACATTCTTGCTAATACATTATCTTCATTTTGCTCCGGATTGTAATCTCTAATGAAAAATATAGCTCCATGAGCAAAAGCTCCATCATGATGGGTCCTGCGATATATTGGTGGTGGGTATATAATGCGGCTTGGGTAGTAAAGTCTTGTGCTATGAATGCATAAGCAGGTAAAGTACATGTGTTGAGCTACCAACGAAGTAATAACCCTAAAGCTAGAGCAAGGCCTAATTGAAAATGAAGCGAATTGATTGTGTCATAAAGACCCTTATGTCCACGCCCCAATCGCCCCCCGGAGGAATATGTGCATCTAAAAGATCTTTCATACTGTGCCCAATCGAAATTGGTTCTATACATATGACCAGCAACGAGAAAAATAAATGCAATAGCTAAATGGTGATGGGCAATATCGGTCAGCGCAACTTTGCGTTTGTGGATGGAATCCCCGAAGAGTTAGAATGGCAGTTCCGCGCCCCTTGGGCATTTCAAATAAATGACTACTTGAGTCCTTTTGAGCATAAAAGATTCCATTGACCTGTAAAAAGTGGGCCTAACCCTTGGGGATGTGGTAATACATCTAAGAAATTATTCCACCGAACGTACTCCCCTCTGGATGCAGGAATAGCAACATGGACTGTCACCTGTCCGAAGCCAAGGGAACTTACGCCAAGAGTCTGACAAATGATGATTCAGACGAGATTCGGCATTTTTGAACCAGGAAACGCTCGGTTTCCATTTCGGTTATGAGTGTAACCAACCTGCTATTAAGATATGGCGAAGAAATAATAGAAAAAGAGCGCCAGTATAAAGATCTTCATTGGTACGTAAACCGATTGTATACCACCATAGTAAACACCAGAATAAACGATATTCACTGGGCCAAGAGCACCCCTCAGTAAAGCTTCCACGGCCGGTTGACCAAAATGAGGTCCCAAATTGCATGAGCAATAGGTCTTACATGTAAAGGGTCCTGTACCCCTGACTCAAAATTTCCTTGCCAAGCTACGTACGACAGATTTCCGGAAGTCCACAGAAAAATTATTGCTAATTGACCGAAGTGAGAAACAAAAATATTCTGATAAAGACGTTCCTCAGTAATATCATCATGACTCTCGAAGTGCGGTAGTAATACCAAACCAAATACGACAGTAGTGGGGTCCTGAGCTAAGCCTTGGCTAAACCTTGGAAATCGTAATGCCATAATGCTTTTCAAATCCTCTAGCCATTATCCTACTGCAATAATTCTTGCTAAGAAGATACCCATGTTGTGGCAATTCCACCCAGAAGGTAATGGAGTTGCCTCTACAACACGTCCTTGTATAATGCTCAAGGCTCTCGGCTGGTAGCAGGAGCAACTTTTAATTTATTATGAGCTATTGATGGATTCAATAAGTTCTTTGCCAATAACCACGTCCGCTGAATAGAAACATTAAACTAAAAGCCCAGACAAAATGAGCACCTAGGAAAAAAAGGCCATATGCAGATAATGAAGAACCATAAGACTGAATTACCTGGGATGCCTGTGCCCATAAGAAATCGCGGAGCCACCCATTAATAGTAATAGAACTCTGCGCAAAGTTTCCTCCCGTATGAGTTACTACCCCTTGATCACTTACACTGCCCCAAACATCTATTTGCATTTTCCAACTGAAATGGAATATTACTACCGAAATGGAATTGTACATCCAGAATAGTCCTTAGAAGACATGATCCCAGGCCGATACTTGACATGTACCCCCTCTACCAGGTCCATCACAAGGAAAACGAAAACCAAGATTTGCTTTATCCGGTATCAAACGGAACTGCGAGCAAATAGAACACCTTTCAAGAGTATCAATACCGTCATGAATCGTAAATGCGCCAGATGATGTACCGAAAATCAGCGGAACCTAATGGAATAGGCAACAAGCCACCTTGCCACCCACTGCCACTAAATCACCACCCCACCAAGTTAAACTGGTGCTTGCTGTTGCACCGAGGAGCCGGTGCACCAGGTGCTAAAGCAGGGGTGTTTTTGTATCCATTGAGCAAGCAGGTTGTAATTATATGGCGGTATCTGAAAACATATCTTGGGGGACGCCCTAAAGCGCTCATAGTATCATTATGAATATACAAACCAAGCTGTGAAAGCCTAGAAATATACATGCCAGTTGAGATGGGATATGGTGCATCGATGCCTAAGAACACGTCTAATAGATCGTTGTACCGAAGTAGTTGGATCATAATCTCTTACCATAAAAATGGCTGCATGCGCGGCAGCACCAACTATGAGGAAATCCACCAATCCACATGTGATGTGTGAACACTGACAGTTGTGTACCATAGTCAGTAGCTAGATACGGATAAGGGGGCATGGAATACATATGATGAGCTACAACAATGGTTAAAGAGCCTAACATAGCTAAGTTAAGAGATAATTGAGCATGCCATGACGATTATTTAGGATCTCATACTAGGCCTTTATGGCCCTGACCTGTAAATAGCCCTTTATGAGCTTCTACAAAAATATCTTTTAGTCCATGACCAATACTGATTGGTCCTATACATGTGACCCGCTATCAGGAAAAAAAGAATTGCAATAGCTAAATGGTGATGGGCAATATCAGTCAGCCACAGACCCCCAGTTGCAGATCTAATCCTCCACGAAAACCAAGAAAGTCCGCATATTTTGACCAATTCAAGGTGAAAATGGGGTTGCTCCCTCGGCAAAACTGGGATAAAGTTGAGACAAAAGATCTCGATTCAAGATAAATTCATGAGGAAGTGGTATCTCTTTAGGATCTACTCCAGCATTTAGAAATTGGTTAATCGGTAAAGATACATGTACTTGATGCCCCGCCCAAGAGACCCAAGTCCTAGTAGCCTGCCAAATGGTGATTCAGCATAGGTCTACATCTTGAAACCCAAGCCAATTTGGCGCCGCTTTGTAAATAATGAAACCAACCAGCAAAAAGCATTAACGCTGCAAAAGACCAATGCCCCAATTGCTGTACAATAGAGTTGTAATTCACTAGTTATTCCAGATGCTCGCCAAATCTGAAAAAAACCAGAGGTTATTTGGATTCCTCGGAAACCCCCGCCTACGTCACCATTTAATATTTCTTGGCCCACGTATTGGCCAAACCACCTGAGCACTAGGCCAATGTGAGTTGGATCACTTAGCCACGCGTCATAAT